GCACAAATCTGGACAATAAGTAAGTGTAAATTAGGGCTGCTACACCCTTCCATGTAGTAACCCACTGTGTAGGTCCCACCTCCACACAGTGCATGCAAACTTCGCAAAGCCGCGCCGGTGTATTTTTTCATACCAAAAGAACGTGCGTGATTGTGCGTTAGCGGTGGAGATCGCAATACTGGCATTAACAATCACATGTAAGTCTCTGAACATTTTCGTTTAACTCACTTTTCGTCTTTGCTGTTTCAAATTAAATATACTCAAAACTAAAAAAAACTAAGTATTTCCGAAAATTATACGCCAGTTAGTGTCTAAACGTAGAACTATAAAACGACCTCAATTACATTGTTACTGGAATTGTTCTGAAAGCGGCAGAAAACAAAGTGAAACTTTATAATTTTACGTAACTTCCAAAGGAGTTAAATTTTGTAAGTTTGTTAAAATATGATGGCGTCCCCTCAAGAATCGTTTCAATTTCGTCAAGAAACTAGAGGAAATCAGTTAAAAAGGGCGTACAACGATTAGAAAGAACATATTAAATACTATTGGAAAATCGCTCTCCTTTATAATAAACTATGCAGGCAAGTGTCCTTAGCAAAACTTAAGAAATGTGTAAAGAATAGCTGGAAGGAATATGTTTCTCCGTAACTAACAGCCCAGTTGGTACAAGAAAGGAAAAATAACGCGCGTGGGGTTCGACTGCTTTTAAGTTCGTGGCTTAAAGAGAAATGTAATCTAGTGTAATCTGCCAGGTGATTCTGGATGCGGGATTGCAAGGCCAATAAAACAGATACACTATAATAACATATTTAATGAACAATTTAGATGATTATGAGAATGAACATGAACATGCACTTGAATGATAGGTTTTATAAAATTACATTATATTTCTTTGTTTCTAAGTAGACAGAACAGTGGGTTACTACATGGAACTATTGATTTTTAGTAATTACAACTATTCTTAACGTGTTAAAGCATTGAATTTGCAATGTCTTCACTAAAGTTAAGGTATCCAGAAAGTAGTTCTGATGATGAATGTTTATGAGATCCTTTGCCTTCGTGTGAGAGGCGCTAGTTGTGTATAGAGATTTCGTAACTATAACGTAATAAAAGAAATGTAAAATTGTAATTTGCCTATAGAAAGTTTTGAAGGTGAAAGTGTAATATAGAATAAGTGTGTGTGAATATATATATATTATGTGAATTGCACGATTTTATTACACAACAAATGTAATACAGAATGAGATGAGTAGAAAAACACAGATTTAAGTAACGATTTTTTTTTCATTTCAAAAAATTATTTCTACGAAATTAACGAAAAATATGGCTGCTTCTATGTGTACATCAGATAACTAAATAGTCATATTAGTAATGCATTTCACCTTGATGCAATATTCTAGTTCAGAAGAACTTTGAATACACTTACCTCTTGGGTTAAGAGAGATTATGGATTTTCTTTCAAGGACAGTTGCCGACTGGCAACTCTCCTTGGCAGCACTTCGTACTTTCGACTGCAAAGGAAAAAGTGATAACGGGCTATGCACTTGTCTCTTGGGTATGCACTGGCCAAGTTGCCACTTGGTAACGAAAAAAATTAAGGGTGACACACATTGGCACAGACTTTCTCGTTCCAGTTAGTTTACTTGGTCTGGTCTTCTATGACATGCCCCATCTTCTTGCTAGCTGCGCCACTGTCTAATTTTTTTTTTAATTTCGCAATTTTTCAGTTTCCTAATGGCAAGACGGAAATACTACTTTAATAATGTTTAAGAAGGGTAATATATTGTCCTATATAGAAGTGATTGTTAAAATATTTGGAACCGTTGTTAATAGATGCATAAAAAATTTATCCTTCAGTTGAGCATATGTTGTCCGGTAGCAGAATGTAAAATGTATTATAAGTGTTACTTTAAATGCAAAATTGAGATCAAAGAGAAAATTAAATGCAATGAGATATTTCAAACAAATTACATTTGCGTTATTTTAAAAAATCCTCAAAATGAATTTTGTGTCATCTTAAACAGTGTATTTAGCACTGTCTGTACAAAAAGTTTAAAGAAAAACTTAGAGGTGTTTTCGAAAAGATGGCTTTTGAGCGTTTCTGAAAATGCGGAAGTTTAAGTTCATTTTCACAGAAACCGTTTGAGTTTTCGAAAAACGTTATAAGACATTAATTGCGTGCCGTTAATAAAAAATGTGCCACTAATGAAACTTTTCGGAAATTCCAAGGGTAACAGTATAACTCGAACCTACGTATGCCATCTTTATAAGTGTATTTCACTCTATTCTTACAAAACATTTTGGACACAGTTTTGAAATACGTTTGCTCAGACGTTTCATGTGAAACATCCCCAAACTTTAAAGAATTCTCATCAAAATACCACGCCTTCAAGTCGGACCAGATCAAAACAGGAATACTCATTTTGAAAAAATACGTCGAATAGTTTGGGGGCTAGTGTTGTGCACACATGGACGGTACGTCTGACTGTTTGAAAGAAGACTGACAGACTGACGAACGAACTGACCGACTGACTAAATGACAGACGGACAGAGGGATGGAAGCGTGGAGGGATAGATGGGCAGAAGAACGAACGAACATTTCGAAAATACCTTCTTCTGGGGTATAAAGAAACCACAGATCGGGGTTTCTGAGAGCCTTAAGTATTATAATAATTATTCCATGTAAGTGAAAAAATTCCTGTTCTAGAATATCAGGGAGCTACTAAATCGGTCAAAATAAAAAACTGATTGTCTTGCTAGCTAAAGTGATGAAGCCACGAGGATTCAACACGGTGGCACGAATTCAATTTCCAATCAGACCAGTACATTCTTTAAAATACTCAAATATTTTAATGATAAATATCATCAAACAATTTGTTTCAAATAAAATAAAATATTTTCTTCTGTGCAAATTAGAAACAAAGTACATTTTGAGTAGAAATGAAAACGAGTAAAGATAGAAATTAAAGCAAATTAATTAGTTAATAGGCGTTGGGAAATACGCAATTCAATCAAACAATTATTTTGAAATCATCAATGCAAACAATATCGTATTTGATTAACGGATACCATAAGAGGAGTAAATGAAGACCGACAAAAGCTAGCACGTAGCAAAATTAAGAAACACGCAGTTATCTTTTGTTTTACGCTTCATTTTTTTTTACTTATATGTTGTAGTTTTTTAAAAGAATCCGAACAAGAAAACACCTATCAGAAGTCACAGGAAAACAATTCAATATTTGTAATTTTAAACAAATACATGATATTTACAGATACGTAATTTTCAAGTCATTCATGTATGTAAACCTTAAAAACAATTTGTGAGAAATATTTTTTATATAAGTGCATCAATAAAAGGATCAAGGAAAGTCAATGAAACCGCGTGTATTAACATTTATCCCGAGAGTATTCTTCTTCTTGCATGCTGTTGTTCACACTGCAAGTTCAATGAAGAATGATATTTCAAACTTTTATCAGTGGATTGCAAAGTACCATAACGAATTTCGAGATTTTAAAGAAGATCAAAATGTAACTAAGTATAAAAATCACGTCCTGCCCACGGAAGCTGGAGGTTTGGTGGCTCTCTCCGGGGCAGCCGAGGAGGAGGGCG